TTGGTTTCAAATTGTAGAGTAAACCTCAGAAACAGGAGCTCAGTAATTAAAAGGTCTGAAGGAATCAATTGTAGACAGATACCTGAATAGGCAAAAAATCAGTTTGCCTTAATCCTGACTTTTTTTTTTTTGCTGTTGGTTTTTTGTTTGTGTTTTAATATTAAAAACCTTGCTTTTTAAAATGGCTACATCTTAAATTTAGGTATAAATGAAAAGGATTGCAGTAGGAGTACTTATGTATCTGCATTCTGTAAAAGGCAGTTCTAGTCTCTTATTATTTATAGACACTGTTAATCCTCCATGCTTGTCTACATTACAAGCCTTCTGTCAACAGAGGTTCTGCAGACACAGCTACCATCACAGGAAAACTGCTAGAGTACATACACACCTACAGGACTTCTGATGGCTCCATGCAGTGCCACTACAGCAGCTGTGTACCCTGAGAACACCAGCTATTAAAGGGGCCTCAGCTGCTAGCAGAAAGCTTGGTCACACCTACTTGTGCTTCCTGGTAGCTTCCCAGGAGTGGCAGAAGCCTTCTGTCGTTCTCAAAGTAGACCAAGTATTCTGCTACCACAGGGAAGCTTTGAGTGTGGACTCGATCAGTTTTGCTGGAAAAACCTCAAGGGTGTCATCGTATCAGTTCTATACAGCAATAAACTGATTGTATTTAGTAATTGCAAATACAGGATTGGTTGAAACTGCATAGCATGGGGTAATGTGATGGGTCAGCATAGAAATGGTAATGTTCACACTAACAACACATATTGAGCAGTCTGTTCAGCGTCAACACATAGTCCAACAAGTATAAATTAATCTGCATGCAGTTGCATTCACTACAGGAGCATGTGATTGATAATATTAATTGTACAATGTAGAAGTTTCCATGACATTAGGCTTAACTGTGTCATGAGAGGCACTGACTGCTGTTAAGACCAGAGACTCATAAGAAATCAGATCTCCCCATGCTGATCTCAAACAAGACTGACAGCATCCCAGACCAGTGAGGAAAAACAAAATGTTTTCACAATTCTTTAGTCTTCCAACACTCTGAACAGCAGCAGAAACTCATGAAAGTACTTCCCATAGAGCACAGTGGATACTGAGAACCTGCAAACTTGTTTGGGATACAGTATACAAGATGGCTTCTGAAGTTCTCAGCTGTGTTGAAAGAATACATCAGGACTAATTCGATGCAAATCATCTTGAAACAGATTAGCTCTTGTCTCACATTTGCATAGCAAGAGTAAATTAGAGACATGGAGTCAACACTGAAAAAGGCTGCATAAACAATTTTAATAGCCTTTCATATTCAAAAGATCAAAACCATGATCTTTTCATTGTGTTCCTTGACCTACCTAAATCTCTTGACACTGGAAATTGTGAGGAACCCTGGAAATGTATTTATACCTTTGAGTACTGCACAAAATTAATTTTTGTTACATGGTCTGTTCATGGTGGGGTGATGCCCTGAGTAGCAGAAAACAAGTTTTCTGACCTATTTCCAGTCATGAATGGCACAAACAATGTTAGATGCTCCCATTCACTTTTCCATCCTGTCCTTACCTGTGCTGGTGTGGCATTTTGTGACATTGCCAGAGGATTACTTTTTTAGTTGGGAAGTTGCTGAATCTGCAGTGTTTCCATGCTTGCAAAAGAGTGGTAAATGTGTTCGTTGGAAAGCTTTTTTTTTTTTGGTGTGAGCTGGTAAGCACACTCACTCAAGTCACTCTCGTTCAATCAATCACTTTGCTTGTGTAGCCAAGCACTGTTTGTTTTGTGATCCGTCTAAAGAAAACTGAAGTACTGCACACATCTGTTTATTACAATTAACAACACTTCTTGATTCCAGGAGAGGTTTTAATACATAGGGAGCATAGTGTAACAATATACTATAAATGATGAAGAGATGAGATATCCACTCATCCCACTGATGAAGAGATGAGATATCCATAGTCAAAGCCAGCTCTGCCTTTGGAATATTGACACACCACCTTTAGACAAGGAGCAACATTAAACTAATGAATAGTGGATGGTCATGCTCCTTTATGGTTGTGACATGGACTAGAAATTGCCACTGTGTTAGAAGGCTTGCTGAATTCCATATGTGCTGCCTTCAATCTATCTGCAAGATGAAATGGTAAAGCAAGATTCTCAACACCAAAGTCCTTAATTGTGGTCATTTTTATAGCATTGACAGCGTGCTTAAGAAAGTTGAGCTGTGATGGTCTAGATACAGATCTTTCACTCTCATTGCTGACCTGAAGATATCTAAGGCCTTATTTTATGGCAAAGCATCTGATGAAGTGAGCTCAGGCTCGTGAAAGCTTATGAATCTCTGATTTAGTTAGCCTGTAAGGTACATCTCTGCCCTGCCTTCCAGCTAAAGACACTCATTCCAATGGTAATCAGTACAAATGGTATAAAATGTACTCTGACAGTCGACTTGAAAGTACATGAAAGTCCATCCTCTGCTTTCTCCTTCACCAAAGAAAATACTGAATAGCAAAGGGAACTTTAACTGAGAGGAGAAAAGCAGAACAAGAACAGATGCTTAGAAACTGAAGCCAGACATTCAAATTATATATTTGGCATTATACATGTATATTTTTAAGAGTGACGGTCATTAATCACTGGAAGAAACTACTGAAGGAAGTTGTGGATTTTCTGTCCATCAATGTCTTCAGATCAAGAACTGTCTTTCTGGAACATATGCTTTAATTAAATGTTTTATTGGGCTCAAAGAGGATAAACTGGATGTAATCAAAGGACATGTAATACTCCTAAAGTCAGATTAAAGGAAGAAATGGTCTGTTGTCCTTAATGGTTCTGACCCTAAACTCCGAATCTCTGACTGTCTAACCTTGCATTTGGAGCTATTAAAGTGTATGTTGTTTAAATTAACCCATGTACACAGGTGAGCTAAATTAATCTGTATAATTAAGTACTTGTCCTTTAATACAAACACTTGTCCTTTATTGAAAACACTTCAGCAGGAGAAACAGATATTTACCCTGGAATTTCCCATAGCCTGGTGGCTAGGGCACTCTCTTAGGTTTATGGGAGCCCTCTATTGAAGTTTCTCTTTGAATTACTTGGGGTACAGACTTGAAAATAGGTGTGTCATGTCCCAGGTGCCCTGACCACAAGGATTTTAAGTATAATGGGGCAGGCTGGTCTTACTTAGAGACTGTTGAGCTGGCCTGAGGTGTTTAACTCCAAGAGAGAGCTAAGCTTGGCGAATCCCAAGAACAGACAGGCACCTCTATTCAGTTCCTTCGAGTTAAGTCTCAGACTACCTTTAAGCCATGAGACCAGTGTTGCCACGTGTGTCAGATAACGGTTTTGTCATAATAGTCCTGGTTTAAATAATATTGTGCCTTTTTCCCCTGTGTACAAACTAGTTATAGAAGAAGGGGTTGATTATGTTTGGATGTAGAGCTGGGGAGACCTATTAAAAGGTAATGGGCCATCTAGCAACAAAGAGCTAATCTGCGTACACCGATGCATCAAGTGGACTCCAGCCAGGCACCTGAGGGGGCTCCCTGCTGTGTCTTGTGTCAGCAGGATGCCTGGAAGAGGGTTCTAAAGGAGAGATGCCCAGAGACGAGGGAGAAAGGCAGATAGCTGTCAGAGAGGCTTGAGACAGAAGAGCTGGGGCTGCCTTTGCTGACAGCAACTGTTTGGAGCAGAAGGACTTTGCCTATTGAAACCCTGTGGACCAATAAATGGTCTTTTGTTTTCAAAAGACCACCGCTTTGCTGAGCGTGGGGGCTGATGCGCTCCACCCTCAAAGGGCGTATGTCCCTCCAGGAGCTATGCCAGAAGGCAGCTAGCTCTCTGAAGGGGGACCGTGAATAATTAAGGTCAGAAACCAAAGGCCCAGGTCTCAGAGTCCAAGAAGCCAGTGGCTTCAGGGGCTGGCTACTCTGAGAGAAGCAGGTGGGCCGGGGAACCTGTGATGCCGCACACATGGTAACAATACTTGCATAGCCCACCTGACCTTTTACATGCAGGGTGGGTAACTGCAACGGCCAAAACGTAGGATAATGAAGGACGGGTACTCTGATTTCAAAGATGGAATGGCTCCCACCAGTGCTTCTCAACCTTTTTTGGACCAGGACCCATCTGTGAATTTCAATGGCCAGTCTGGACCCAGTGCCCCTCACTCCTGACCAGTGTGTGGGGCATAGGGGCAGCCCCTCGCAAGCTGGAAGGCTGCCAGCCTGCGAGGGAAAAGCCACCGTTTCCCCCTTTAACGGGGAATCCATTTTTCAAGGTTGTTCAGGACCCTTTCACATGTTCTTGCGACTCACGGGTTGAAAAAATGGTCTGAGCAATGGCCCCGCTTCACGTGTCCTTAACGACCCTTGCGTCACCCCTCCCGCAGCCAAGCCAGCCTGCAGGCTGGCTCTGCCCGCCCCTCCTGGGGGGCGGGGCGGCCCATGCAGGGGCAACAAGCGGTCAGGCGGGGAAGCCCGGCCCAGGCAGCAGCGTTCAGCCAATCGCCGTCCGGCTTCCCCGAGCCCTTCTGTGCAGAGGGCCAATGAAAGCCGCCGCCCGTTTCGAGCGGGAAGAGACTGAAGCCGCTCCAACTGCCTCCCGCATGTCTCCGGGTAAACACCGCACTTTTCCCCTCCCCATTGGTCGGCAGGCGGCCCAATCAGAGGGGAGCGGTCGCAAGTGGGTGGAGGAGCAGGCCGGCGCCGGCGCTCCGAGCGCGTGCTGGCTGGCCGGCTCCGCCAGGCGGGCCCTGGATGG